GACAGAAAGGGGCAAGAGAGACTGCCTGAGTAAATGAGTTTACTTCAACCTTTGGAAGCAGAAATGACTTGCCACCTGGAACAAAAAGAGAGAATTGGGCTGACATCCATATACATTTTGACCTCTTAAAAAGTTCTACTTTTGAAACTGTGGCACAGAATCTACCTTTTGAGCAGTCCCCCAATCCAGAGGAAGGATTTTCTTAATCTAGATCTAGTGGCTAACATTGGGAGGAGAGGAAGAGAAGAGCCTGCAGATCTTGCTGGAGGCAATCCATGGTACTTGATAAAATTATAAGTTGACTCATTTAAAGACTTAGTAAACATAGAAGGGAAGTCTTAAATAATATAAATGAGAGGTGAGTAATTACATCATCCTGCTGATTTTAGTTAGAAATGACAGCTTACAATAGCAAAATGATCATATCATTTCCTTTTCACCTACGTTTTCGAAAAAAAAATCATTTTGTGACTAAATTGATTTCTGTTGACATTAAGTGTTTATTTGATTCTTTGCCTTATTTTTACCCTGCTTCATTAAGGAAAAGATTTAGTATGTCTTGTTATAAAATAGAACTGGATCACATACAATAAAGATAGAAGTGAAAAAAGATGAAAATAAATAGAAATGGAAATTAGATTAAAAATTCATGCTATAACCTATAGCTTTGGGAGACATGAGACACAGGCTTGGGTTAGGCATTCTAGAATTCAAGGCAAAATCTAAACTATGTACAAGTATATAATAAATTAAGAGAAAGCCAATAGCCCATAGAGGTAGAAATTATTCTTGATAATAAGATCAGTAAAGAACTCCTCAGTGTCCTCATAAAGAATGAAGCATATCCTAAACAGTTCCAGAATTGACCAGTTAGAAGCTCAAAGGGATGATTTATTTTCCTGTTTTTATTATGTCCTTAAATATAAACCAATATCTTTATACCACCATGTGGCTTTATTGAAATATATGATGCAGTCCAGAAAAATAAGATCTTTGTTGATTTAAGTGAATCATATGATAGAACTTGGAATAGATGGACTCTGTATCTCTCAAGCAATATAAGAGGTATTGTTTATAGATATTTGGTGATTATACCAGGCTTGACTTTAGAATAAGTGCATTTGATTTATCTTTATCACATGCTTGTGAGAAATGTTAGGAATCCACTATGTATAATAAAGATCTTTAAAGAATTTAAATTTTTTTTTTTTGCAGAGCATGTATTCCATGTTAGGTCTATCGTCACTCTCCATTTGTTAACATAATTATTCTCAATTTGTTTCCAAAGAACTCCAAATCCAACAAGAAATTCTAATTTAATGTGAAGAGTAAATAGTTTAGTCTCTAAGAACTGTAATCTTATTTAAAAGATTAAAAAAAAAGTAAAGCCTATCAGAGAAGAGGACAAATTTTAAATTCTAGTTCTTCTGTTATTAATTGGGGAACTGCGAACCTATTATTTTAATTGAGCAATTCTCTCTTTGCTCATCTTAAAATAAAAGAATTGAAAGCTCCTGCAAGTCTTCAAGACAACAGCTTATGAGCAATTAACCAACACAGGCCTAGAACATAGCAGAGACCTAACAAGAGTTAGTTTTTTCCTCTCCATGAAGAAAAGTTAAGCCATTATGGCAGTCATCTTGATTCGAATGTCAAGAAAACAAGAGATTAAACTACGTGCTCTTTTCTCTTTGATTGGATGAAATGATGGAGTATTTGTTTCTTTCATTATTTTGATCTCAGTTCAACAGTTCAAAAAACTGTGCTTGCCATATACCATGTGTTCACTAGTCATTGACGCTAAAACAGATGAACAAAGTTTTCCCATAGGAGGCCACAGCTTATTAACTCTCTTAACTTATTAAGGGAGACGAATAAGTAAATTAATAATGAATATTCACTATAAGAGCTATAGTTCTAGGAGTATTGGTTCATAGGAAGGAGGGTGGTAACTTAATGTTTATCATTCAAATATGAAGTACCAAGGCACAAGGTAATTTCTAGTATCACTGGAAGTGGCCAAATGGCTAATGGCCAAGAATATTCATTCGTAAGAAAGCATTTACCTTAAAGACCTATTCCTCTCCAGGATTTCACCATCAGATTTGTATACTCAGAAATTTTGAGATCTACAGCTGGCAAGGTTTGGGATTTTGTCTAATTGGCCAGTGGACAATTAAAAACCACATTTGTCGGCATTAGGTATTCACAATAATTCATACAGCACTTTTTCTACCTGTTGAAAATCATCATCGAAAGTCAAATTGTCTGATTGCTTGACTAGTATTATACCTAGACAAGTCAACTTATTTACATGGCTCACATGTTTCATCAGTCTCTTATAGTCTGATAGTGATACCCCATCCTGGAGACTAGATGGTAGACATCCTCCCTTCTGGACCATGCATGGGAATTTCAGTTTTGCCTCTGAAACCTCTCCTTCACTTTGCTTCCATTGTAGACCAACTACTTTCTAACTAATGCATTCTTTCTTTAAATGTGTTAATATCATCAATCAGCTAAATAAGTTAACCAACACTTTCTATCATTCTTTATTTTTCTGAAGACAGAGAGTGCCTACTTCCTTTGCAGACTATGTAATACCCTTTATCTTTACGAATTATCTTTTGTTTTCTTTACAGGTACATGTCAACCTTATATTCTCACCCTGATTTTCCAGAGAAAGGGCCAGAGGAGATTAATGAAGAGCTAATGAAAAATGTTAGCTATAACCCCCTTTTACTTCTCACACCACAGAAAGTTAAAAGATATGTTGAGTCTTTATGGAAGAAGAAAAGGTCTGGACAACCTGTCACTTTTACTGATATCTTTGGGATGTTAATAGGAGAAACACTAATTCACAATGTAAGCTATAGCTCAATCTACCATCCTTTTGCTACAAGTAGATTATGTATATTATAATGTTTTAAATAAAACCAAGTATGATGTTTTGTAAAAGTCACTTAACTCAACTTATCCCATCAACAATATGTATTGAGCACATAGTCCCTGCCAGACATAAGTCTTCTACATTTCAAACTAATGCTCACTAATTCATTCTAACTGTGTATCTTTTAATGTG